TCTGAAGCTTTGCTTGAGAGTATTTGCAATAGTGGCAGTATGGTAAAGTCACCAGTCATTTTTCCCTCAAGACTCATTGACCATGCATGACATGGCTTTTGCCAAATATTGATATGCTATAATCAAATACACAGATTGCTGAGGCCATCAAATAAGCAAATGAAATATCTAATGTGCATTGCAGTGTATGTGCTGTTGTGGCTCAAATGAAGAATTAGGAGAAAGCTCAACTAACCTTTTCAATGCACAATGATTACTGCAGTGCCATGTGTTTGTCAGTATGGTGTAGCTGGAAGCTCTACCAAACAATGTGACCATACTGAATCCTACTTACTTTAAAGCTGTCTTTGTTAGACAGCTGGTAATACTGTGTAATGCTTAGTTGGTCACCTGTGAAAGGGATCCTGATGGAAAAGAAATCAGCATGATTGCTATGTCACAAACACTTTGAGATGGGCCTATATGCTTGTCACACCAGCAGTACATACCTATGAGGTAGTGTTCATGCCTTGTTGGTCAATTCAATAAATTCAAGGTGCTAGTGGAATGGTATTGACAGCGGCCACATGACCACTCAGATGACAAACCTTCTTAACATAGAGTAGGGCCTATATGCACCACTTCACAATTGGAAGCTAAGCTCAATGAAACTGCCTTTTGGCATAGTCATTGACAGGCCTTGCCCCTTATTGATGCTATATTGGTGAAAAAGTAATGAAATGTGGGGATCCTGTGATGATATTGCTTAATAATCCTGATATGACTCTCTTCCCACAGGCTGTTATATGTGAAGACACTGCTGTATTGATGGAGCACTGCTACATCTTTCCTGTGATTCAGTTGTGTAGTTGTTGAGTCTGAGGTATATTTATCTGCTGACTGTTGACCTGTGATACTGCTATATGTAAACAGCACATGTTATAAGGCTCTGCCCATTGCCTCACTGTTCATATTTGGTAAATATGTAAGATCTATGGATGTATACAACCTTGCTAGTTTCATTCCTCAGTTCTTGTGGGTCTGTGTAGCTATTTGTACTGTTATGACACACTTGTGTAACCACCAGAGTTTATGAGTTGTAATACATACCTTGCTTACATGATCTTTGTGCCTTGTTTACATTGTTTTCCCTTTTTGTCAGTTGTTCATCTTTGCCTATCCTGTATTACCTACCCTTCAGTTCTTACTTCAGGCAACACACTTGCCCATTCTATTGCAGTATAACAAGTGAGCATGACATGCAACAACACTACAGGTCTACAACTTGGAAAAAGGTACACCCCTGTGTATTGCTATGTTTGACTTTGATACACTGGAACCTTTGACCCCTCCCATACCCACTCATTTTTTCTATTGTTCTTGCATGTATGTGGGACAAAAACTGGAAACTCCCACTGTTGTGATTGACCACACAGTCAGTGAACTGGTCTGAGGGGTGCTCATCCTTGGTCTTGCACATAGCATCAATTTATGATGAGAATTCACCAACTGTAGCAGTGCCTGATTGATATTCTGGCCTCTGCACAATAAGTGTCATCATATCTTGCAAGCCATTGAGCATGAACTGCACATAGACTACCCATAACATTACCCATACCCATGGGTACTCAGAATACCCATGCAAAACCCATACCCATGGCATGGGTATGCAACCCATGTGGGTATGGGTATGGGTATGCTCTGAGACACCCATGGGTACACCCACGCTATGCACTACGGGCACGTGAATACGAGCGCATATGGCAGCGATCGCGCCCCTACTCGGCGCTTTACCGCGCTCTCTTGACTGCGACCTCGTAAGAAACCTAGAGATAAAAAAGAGGACCCTTTGCGAGCCACGGTGAGTCTTCTTTAACCAACATTGCTCCGTTGACCAGACAGTCTTGCGCAGGCAGATCACACAGTTGTATTGGTGTGAATTCGTGTGTATTGAACGCGGATATTAAGTCGGTGAGTACTTAAAGCAGCTGGGTCTCTATACTACGTACCGCATGCCCTGTACCACCCTGGGCGTAAAACCACCGAAGCGATGGAGGCGGTGGCATGGGAAATGGCTGCGCATGTCCCCCACTAACGCCGGCCCTGGCTGCGAGCGATTAGAGGCGGGGTACGTACTTTGAAACGATGTCCGAGTGTATCGCAACTCGGTGAGCCGACGCGGAAGGCGCCAGCATCTGACGTGTGCACGGCGGGCGTCCTAGACCTGCTCAGGGCAGCTGGGCCTACTCGAGGTAAGGAATAGGGGCTGCGCATGGAGCGTACCTCTGAAGGGGGGGACCCCGGCTGCTGTACCTGCGGTCACGTGGGTCAGTGACTCAGCATACGAGGCAAATGAGGCAGCCAGGGTTCTCTGCCAGTCGAGCTTCGTACACTACTATCGTAGGCTCCCCGTACGCATCGATGTCCATGTCTCGCATCGTACGGCAGCGTGCACCGTCTGCTCGTCCCTCCCCCTCTCGTTCCCACTCTCGCATGAGAGGTAGAGGGGACAGCAACTCACACAAGGGTACTGTTCAGAGACCTGAAGATCGCGCTCTCTACCAGATTGAAGTGGACAACATTTACAATTGCCCCACACAAGGTGAGAACCATAGCCTACATTGTGAGGGTACAGCAAACTGATCAACTTGGGCCAGTCGCCCATCCTTCTGGCCACCAGAAGTCTAGGGACCCTGGTAAGTAAACGACCTTGGAATCACCGTCTATCAGACACCTCACCCGACCCGCCATCTTAGACATAATTGATCGCAAGGTCGAGGAGAACAAGGATGCAGTCGAGCAACATCAACTAACCTATCCAGCTGTGGTCCACAAGGCCTTCGGTAACTTGGTCTCAGCTCCCGGTTTTCCGTACATTCGCGACATCGATTGGGTGCGTCTCATCTTCCGTTTCTCAGTGTAGTACTCCTCTAACATCATGTCTACACAGCTAGTCAAGGACTTTACGAAGGAGGATTGGGAGCAGCTGCAGCTAACGATCAAGGAGGAGCATCCGCAGTTGATCTTTGTCAAGTGCGTGCGCTAGGGTAGGGTTTCTCATCTCAACTGCTGAAGCGCGTCACTATAGGTACTATTATGATCAAGAGGCGTGCACTCTCAACATGAGCTCGCCGTTCTTTCTTCACGAGGACATGATACACGCGTTTGTTAATTTGGTCAGGAGGAAAGTGGGCATCTACGTGCCGCCCCAGTTCCTGCACCAAATCTTTACTGCGGTCTTGCAACTGGCGCCCCATCACCCTGTTCCTGGGGAGACCGAACAGGTCACAGTTCCGGACTCCGTCGTCAGCCTGGTGATGACGGCTGGAACGTACCCGATGGGCCTACTGGAGGTGTCGAAGTCTCAGGATTTCCGGAAAGCTTTGCGTAAGGTGAGTACGTGCAGGCTGACATTCCTGTCTATTACAGTGCTAACATGAGGAGTTCCACAGCTCTACCACGCCGGGCGACAGCACATCCTGAACACTAAAGAGATACAAATGTCATTCCTGTTCTGCATCAATGCTGAGGAATACCCGCCCTATCACTCCCCCGACAAAGGCTTGAACGTGCGGGAAAGTGACCTGGCCTACGACGACCAGCAATACGCGCAGCAGCTCTTGGACCACGGTGGGGTCATACCCGGCATAGGGCCTTGGAGCGCGGGAGGCCACATGTTCTGCGGGGCGATAGACATGCACCTGTTCAACGTGGACCCACAGAGCACCAGGCAGATGCGTACATTGAAAAAAGGCATCAATAATCAGTGGCCCCTTGAGATGTGGGTTGAGCAGGGTATAGCCATCGTGAGTCTTCGTCTTGTAAACACTGACACGATCAACTGACTATACAACACAAGCCTGTCAAGCGCGACTACAACACCGCCCAGCTCAAACATCAACACGCCAAGTTCCTTGAGGGCCTTCGCCAGGCCCTCGACAACCAGGTTTGCGCTATGGCGGAGGTGATGCAGCTCAAGCAGTCCAAAGACTTGTGGTGGCCGGCCGTACACAAGGCGTCAGACGAAGATCAAGATTACTTCAGAAAAGTCTACTGGCCCACTTTGACGAACAAGCCTATTACGCTCGAGGATGTCGAGAGCTTCATCGACGAATTGATTACGGGCGCAGTAAACGGTGCGCGTTACACGGCTCTATACCGTCTCAACGCATACAACGGCGTAGTCATTCCGTTGCAAGGCCGTACACATCTGGCAGGTGACAAGCCAGATCCCTGCCCTACGCACCTCATGGTGACCGCAAAGGGTCTGAACATGGGGGCAGCCTTGGACGAAAGCCTAACCCGCCTTCAGAATCGGCCCGTGTCCTACAGCGGGCGTACCTCGCGGTGACGGGGGCTCGACCGCACGCATGGCTGACGATGACGAGGACCGCGGTAAAGGGAGCTCGACTATGTATATGGATGTGTCTGATGAGGAGCAGGGAGACTAGGGAGGGACACCTCACTCTCAGCTCTTCGCCAGATTGCGAAGGAAACACTCGTCGAGTCTCCGTGAGGTACGTTAATTGTAGGTCCTCAAGTACATCTATTTTATTGCTGTCAACATCATTATCAATCTCGCTATCCATGCTCTCGCCTATCCCTGCTCTCGAGTCGCTCGTCTGTCCGTACTGTACGATTATGAAAGCGTAGAAGTGTTTGTACTTATGTCTGTAACCTCCGCTCCGCAGCCTATACACGCATTGTCTAGCCATCAATCGGGAGCTTCCCAACCGCTTTGCCAATCCGCCGGCAGTCTATCGCTTGACAGCTCAAGCTTGCTCTTGACCTTTGATAGACACAACGGGTGGTCGAGCAATAATCATTTCGTTTAAATCTACCTATTGCTACATCCACAAACGTCTGGTCGCCTACGCATGGCGCAGTAGTGATCTGGAGAGGCCGCAACGAGGTACTGTACACAATTGATACCAATCTCTGTTTGTTGATAAGTGTCAAAGGTAGTGAATTCTTAGTGTTATATCAATGTATTCGTGAATCTGTCTACCACCGGAACAGTACAAATTCGCGCGGACGAAAAGGTAAGGATTAATCCATACATTGCACCCCAAGTTTTAGCGCCCACCGCACTGCGTGCGACCGCCACCGCCACCACCTCCTCGTTGTCCTCGACCACTCCCGCTCTCTGGGCAGCCACCGCACGCACCCGTCTGGCAAACCAGACGCACGCGCCGTCCCAACGCGAAGGCAAACTTGCATCCGCGACTGGCTGGCTGACCTGCCGCCGGTTCAGTCAACGGCAACCAACGACCTGGCACCTCGCGGTACCAGATCACTACTTCCTTCCTCCCCGGCTCCTCACCTCTCCCCTCTCGTCTCGTGACTTGACTTGGGTGGCCTCTCTCTTGGGTCTAGTGACTCTGGCGACTCCTACCGTGGCTCTGGCGACACGCAACCCAGCCGCGCGACCAGGACTTGAATGACGCGCGTTAGGTCCAGCGCCAAGCAGCAAGACTGAGCGGACCACGGAGAACGCAGAGCGAGGAGGGCGTAAGGAGGATAGGGATTATGAGCAGACAGAAAGGGAGAAGGAAGGGTTCGACAACGAGAGCAAGCCGGAGCACCTGGCAGGCTCGATGATTATAGGTACTGTTGAGCAGACTAGGTCACACGTAGTGGACCGCGCTCTAACTTACCTGCTTGAAGGTTGGATACTTGAGGCACACAAGTTACTTTGTGGTGAAGGAACTGAAGAGAGAGCTATGCTACTGGTGGGTCTTATATACATCTGAGAGACGCTGACTAATACTACTGTATAGTCCATTCCCACGCATGACTTGCTCTATGCGGTAAGTGCGGATCCAGCATGTGCAGTGTGATCCGGCCCGTGGAACCCGGCGGCCCGGTGGGCGCCTATACGGTTCAACAGGTACGCCCTTACAGGATGTACCTCCTTCGCCGCCGCCTATCCCTGTGCCCGCGCCAACACGCGTATCGACGAACACGAAGGTCGTCGTGCGCCCTGTTGGCTACACATCACACGCACGGGCCCTGGTACAACCTCCAGGTTGTACCGGGCAGAATGCACGGCGACACCGTGGACGCGCAGATCTGCGCGTTCGACGTGCCCTACGCTTCCATGAATGCGCCCAGAGCTGCAGCGACAAATGGAACCTTTGTTGTGCACACTGGGGCCCACGAAGATCGCGTGGCTGCGATCCGGCATGGCCTAATGGTCGTACCTTCAGCTCTGCAAGAGGGCACGCCTGTGCTACGGGACGACCTCGCGGCCGTACCTTTCACTCTGCAAGGCGGCACGACGGACCCGCAGCGATGCATGTCCAACGTGCCCGGCTCAACTTTGACTGCCTGTTTCGCGGTGTTCCCTGACCTCTCGTCGAGCAGTTGCAGCGCGCGATCAACTATGTTTCAAAATAAACTGCACGTCTTCACGGAAGTTCAGGCCCTCGGCCGCTCCAACGCAGCTGAACCCCATTTGGCTCGGCTGGCCGAGGAGTGGGAGGACCCCGACGACCTCACTCGCGACTCAATGTCTGGCAGGCATACAATACGTCCAACCGCAATTCAAGGCGGCCCGCACATCCTCACGGAAGTGCGAGCATCCGGTACAATCGAACCCCGCCTGGGTCAGCTAGCAGGAACGTGGAACAACCTCGATCCACCCTCGGATGGCCAGCACTCATGTGCGGCCGCAGTCCAGGATGACTTGCAACCCCTAAGTACAGGAAGTGCGAGCCTCCGACCTCAAGGCGGCTGAACCTTCAGTGGTTCCGCTGGCAAGTCTCAACCTCAACCTCAACCTCAACCTCAACCTCGGTGTTTCCAGCAACCACCACCTTCCTTGCAATCCCGGCGACGCCGCGAGCTCGCCATCCGACGCTGGCGCAGTCCCACCAAACGCGCAAGCTCGAAATCGCAGCCGCAGTGCAGCAGCCGGTGCCTACGGATCCCGACCGGCGAGAACGGCCTCCCGACCGTCAACCTGGCGAGAACTTCACAGTTCTCGCTGATGGTTCGTTCCTAGGGACTCCCATTCAACTCAATATCGACCTCTCAGCGGCCCCCAACATCAGTGGCGACTACGACAAGCACATCGTGCGCGCGCTCCGTAGATAGCGCTCAGGAGAGAAGGAGGAGAGGGATAGGGACAGAGGAGAGGGATGAGAGTGCAGAGGCAGGAGGGGTAGACGAGGAACGTCTGGCAGAAGGAGGGGAAGGGGAAGGGTGCGGTATAGGCAAGGAAGACGAGCATACGTGCTCGAAAGATGAAGGTGCGTCCCTGCTGGACGTGCCTCCCCCGCCTCTAACCCCACCATCTCCTACACAGCCACCACCACTCGTGACGACCACGACAACCAACACGGTTGCCGTGGCGGTCACCATGCACGTCGGTGGTACTGACGGCCCACGGGGCGACCTACATGTCGCGACCGGCACGGTCACGCAATGCGGTACGATCGGCGAGCTCGCTCGGTCAACCAACGTACTCACCGTCATTGTGGCTCACGCACAGATATCGGCCTTTTCGCGCGACATCTATGATAGACTGAGGAGCTTGGCGGTGAATTGGACTGCGAGTAGCCCACGGTCCTCGCCCCGCCGTCACCACCCCCCGTTCCTGTACCAAATCTTCGTTCTCGCGGGTTCAGGTGCCTGGGCCGTGCAGTGAGGCAGGCACATCAAGTATATCAAGTGATGTGTCCGCATCGACTCGCGCGACGAGGGTGTCATCGTGCACCCGAACGAAGACACATTTCTGAGAGCCGTTTGGTGGCTTCCGGCTGCAGCTGGAAGAACGGAAAGCCCAGCCGACACGAGGGCAGGGATCGACGGACGCAGCGTATGGCGAGCGGGGCTTTGAGCAACCACCGCTTGCTTCATGCCACCGCCAGTATATCGCGCGAAGACGTACTGGTTACGGATCTCACAGAGACACGGACATCAAGCCGTGGGCTCGACATACGGGCCTCACGTCAGACATCGAGACAGGTACCACCAGTACCGCGTGCATCGAGCAATCGACTCGACGTGCAGGATACTGGTGACCGTTACGGCCACGACATCACTTGGGGAGCCAGTACCTCGCACCGCGAAGTACTGGCATTGAACCGAGTATTGACTGTGCCGAAACGTCCAGTAAATGGCGATGTGAGTCGCTGGCCCACGGACAATGCTTTGCGCTAGTCATGTTTCAGTCTATTCACGGACCAACTGGATCACAACTTTGACGAGGCCGAATTCGCGGTGAGTGTTGGCGAGTGGGCCACTTGGGCTCACTGCAAGAGGTTGGCACTTCGCTGTGGAGTCGTGTACTACGGGTCAATGTGTTGCATCAACATTTCATAGGTCAATGACCTAGTAGAACATACTGAAGTCTTGCAAGGAGACCGTACCTCGTACGGGCTCTGTATATTTCACGTCCCCCGCAATGTTGATTTGCTGGGCAACCCTGCAAATGCAAGCACTTTCGAGCTTGAGTGGCATCAAGCGCTTAGTAATGGCGCTGACAACATCAACCTCGAGTCGATTGACAATGCTGCTGTACGTGAAATTTTGCGTAGAGGCCCTGTAATTGAGGCCGTATCTGAGCGCAGTGGAATACACTATGAACATGTTGCGGAAGATCTTGTAGATCCCATATTAGTAGATGCTGCAGTGGCGACTGGGCCAGAGGATTCCGACGCAATGTCGATCTCCTCTTACGACTCAATGCCACCTCTCGAAGAGATCCCTGACCCTGAGTCTGTTGTACCGGACTTTACTGATGTACGCGCTCGCGCTTACAGGCCATTTGCGCATGTTAAGTCATGAATTACTATGGACGAGGTATGAATTACTTCGCAGCCTCAAACACTACCGGCCAAGTGCAGAAGATCACAAACACATTCACGAGTGATTGCTCAACCAAGACTGGATGGTACATTCTATGAACATACCAGATCTGTCTTATGAATACTTAGATGAGCCTTCACTCGACACTACAATCACACTCGCTCAACAAGTGCTGAGCAATGATGCAGAAATGCACGACCCACCTCCGCCATATCCTGCACTACGAGCCATGTCAGCTCGTGCTGCTATGCACACTTCTGATGCACCCAGTTCAAGCTCACAGCCCCTCGCAACGCGCGCAACCGTGCGACGCGCTGTAATGGGCCGTTGGCCTGACTTAACACGGTATGATCAAACTTGCCTGACTGCATATTTGACCATCAATGGGCTTCAAGCCCTGGTATTGCTTTATTCTGGAAGTACTACTGATTCTATTAGTCCAGATTTCGCTTGAGTTGCAGGCATACAAGCCTTCGAACTCGAGAATCCAGCCATCCTGCAACTGGGATGTGTTGGCAGTTGTTCGCGCATCAACTATGGCGCGAACATACCTGTACTTTGGGGAATGTTCCGAGGTGAAGTCTATTTTGATGTGGTGAACCTGGATCGCTATGATGCCATGCTTGGCACACCATTCATGTGAAAGTTTGGTGTATGTCTCGACTTCTCACAGTTGGTGATCTGCATTGGACAGCATGCAATACCGGCACTGCTTCCATGGGAGGAGGAGGACACTGCCAATCATCGGTGGCGAACATTTCCTTCTCGCTGCACCACTGCCAATGTAACACACAGATGGCTAATCTGCCTGTGCCTGTGCCTTCGCATTCACATTGACTAGCCAACCACTGGCACAGCAGTGGTGAATCAATGGATTCACTGCAAACTGTGTCCTTCCATCACATTACAGCTAATTACCGATCTATAGATAATGAAGCACGTATTGCACAAATGCGTGAACAATTAATGCACAAATATGCAAACTTATTTGGTCCAGTCCACCAGGACTTCCTCCGGTGAGAGAAGTCAACCACAGGATCCCTCTTATTGATGAGAATAAGAGGTATACCTATTACCTACCAAAATGCACAGACTCTCTCAAGCCAAAACTGCTTGAGAAGATTCAATTGTACACTGCTAATGGATGGTGGAAGGAATGTCAAATGGAGCAAGCTGCTCCGATGCTCTGTATTGTGAAGAAGGATGGTGGTCTTCGCATTGTCGCAGACATTCAGCAACATAACACCAATCAAGGACATCACTCCATTTCCGGACCAAGACCAGATCCGGCATGATGTTGCACACGCACCATATCATTCAAAGATTGATATGTCAAACACTTATGAGCAAGTGCTCGTGGACCCCAAGGACATCCATAAGACTGCCTTCGCGACAGTCTATGGTACGTTCTACAGCCTCGTTATGCAGCAAGGAGATACTAACGCTCCTTCAACATTGGTAAGTTTGTACACGTCTACTTAGACAATGTTTTTGTATTCTCAGACACTATTGAGGAACATGAACAGCATCTCGAGTGGGTACTCAAGAAGCTGCACAAAAATTGGCTGTATCTCAGTGTGAACAAGTGCACCCTTTTTGCAAGGCGAGTCAATTGTCTCGGCCATGTCATTGACAAAAAGGGACTGCATGCTGACACGGGCAAGATGTCTCGCGTTCGCAACTGGCCTGTACCTCACAACTGTCACAAAGTACAACACTTCTTGGGCCTCATACAATACCTTGCTCACTTCATGCCCAATCTCGCTGCTTACACAGGTCCGCTTTTGAGCATCACATGAAATGGTCAGTCTTTCAACTGGTGTCCGATCCACCAGAAATGCTTTGATGAGATCAAAGCACTTGCGTGTAAGACCCCCGTCTTACACCCTTTTGACCCTCAAAACTCAGACCCAATCTGGGTAATTACTGACACGTCTACGTCAGGTGTTGGTGCAGTGTATGGCCAAGGTCCTCAGTGGGATAGCTGCTGCCCAGCTGGCTTCATGTTGAAGAAGTTCATGCCTGTGCAGCATGCGTATTTCACGTATGAAATGGAGGCTCTCAGTGTACTCAAAGCTCTTCTCAAATGGGAATATAAGCTCATACGCTGACATTTTAACATTGTCACTGATCATCATGCACTTGTCTTCATTCAGGACAAGCGCAAACTCGCACCACGACTCGAGCAATGGACTGAATATCTCAGTCGATTCGACTTTGAGATTGTCTATGTACAAGGCTCAAAGAACCTTGTTGCGGACTCATTTTCGCGTTATTTTGCTGACGAAGGTGTGGACGTACTACACAAGCCACAAGACTATGTATCTGCTGACATTAGGATTGACCCATGTGGCGAGACACTCTCAAACCCTCGTCCCACCAAAATCCGTGCTCAACCCGGGCGTGCGTGAAGCCGAGGAACTCGCAGCACACCTGCCACAAGTGGCACATGCACAGGATCAAGAGACGGATCCACCGGATGAAGACTCGGAGTCTCGGACCCAATTACACTCGACTCTGCAGTCTCCGGGCCACCATTGGATACAATCATCCAACAAGCTCTGGACCTGCACAAGACGAATCAGACAATCCGGTCGGGATACTCGAAAGATCGACTATTCCAGGCAATCATTGAGCACCCGGAAGATCATTGCGCATTCCCACTGCGCGACAGCCTATTATGGTATCGACTGTGTGCTGACTGTGAAGTACTGTGCGTCCTGCGAATAACGGTACATTGTCGAGTACTCCCTGAGATTATTCTCAGTGAAGCACATACTGCCATTGGACACTTAGGTACTTGTCGCATGTCAGACTACGTACAATGATGGTATTGGTGGCCGAACATTGGTAAGGATATTGCTTCCTTCTGTGCGAGTTGCACCACTTGCCAAACTACTAAATTCTCACGTCAAAAGCCTACCGGCTTGCTCCACAGCATGCCAATACCGATGCGGCCTTGTCAATCAGTCGGAATGGACTTTGTTGGTCCATTTCCGACATCGCAAGGCTCCGACTATCTGCATTAGCACATGTGAGATGTACTGTCTTGCATTGGCCTACAACAGTCAGCACAATGTGAAGTCATGGGATTGTCTGATTTTATCTTATTTCCTACTATTTATCTAGCATTGCAGAGACAATCAGACTTTGATATACTATGTGTGGTAGTGTGGTGGCCCCACCTTATGACATTGCTAGCCTACAGATTTCCTCACAACAGTAGTAACTGCATAACACAACTTGTACCATTGAATGTCTTTGTATCACTTTGTAGGATCAGTCCAGTGTGAAAAAGCTCTGTGGACCCACAATTCTGATGGCTATGCTATTGACATGTGACACAGAGTCAGTATTCTGAGCATGCTCAGCATGAACTGTGGCCTTTGTGCCACAGGTGTCCACCATTTTCTGAATATGCCATAGCCTGCCCAAGGGTTTAGAGAGAGAAGCCAATCACTACTTACAGCAAACAGTACAAGGTGAGCCTGAGTGGTATTTTGGGAATTTTCCGCATTTTAGTGGGGCCACAGTACAGCAGGTACAGTGCCACTAAGGAGCCTGTGGCTGAGATTCAAACTCAGCTCAAAACCTCGGCAGCCTGCCTGATTAGGGCAGAAAAGGGCTTGTCACCAATCAGAGCAGCTTGGCATCCCTCTCATGCCATTCGGAGGTGCAACTGTGCCAAATTTCCGCATGGATGCACCTCCAAACGGCATCTGGGCGCCTAATGGGCGCTTAGTAAGCAATGTAAGTGCGGACTGTTACTGTGCTTAAGAGAGCTTGTATAGGCTCAGAAAAAAGCGGAAAATTGAGACAATATTCAAAATGATCCAGGCAATGTGAATGAAGCTGTATATTGCATGGGTTTGACATCAGATCAGATAGCATTCTCAATAACCTGGTAAGATGGTTGCTGTGGCCCCAGTGAGCTTATATAAGCCTGCTACTTCACTCTTGGAACTGCTCATGTACTGAACAACCCTATAAGATCATAGTGTAAGTACACATTCAGGTATGTATCCCTAGATTGTGTCTGTGAGCAAGACAAAGCCAGCAGTGGATGCATAATTACCATATGGAGCATGTGACCTTCCCAAAGAGGAATCATACACAAACAGGGGCATGTAGGGCTCAGAGAAATGCAGAAAATCTATGAAATATACAGATACATCAAAGACAAGTGTATGATTGCCTTGAGCTGCAATGGTTA